TTTTGTCATAAGTCACCGCGATTTGTGATTATTTATATGCTAAGGCGAGACGTGGTAGGCAGAATTCTAAAGATGGCCCCACAAGATTTCTGTCCATTGGATATTCAATCAAACATTAAACTAGAAACTGCTGTGAAGGGATTTTTTAAAGTCCCAAATCAGTTGATCTTAAAATAGGGAGATTATTGGATGGGTCTGACCTAATCAGGTGAAGCTTTAAAACCAGTTTTCTCCAGCTGGTAGCAAAAGAGGAAGTCAGAGAGATATGAAGCATCAGAAGCATGTGCCATTGCCAGTTTAAAGATGGAAGGCACTACAGAAGAAGGAATGCAGGTGGCCTTCAGGAGCAAAGAATAGTCCCTCACTAACAGCTGGCAAGGATATGGGGACCTCAGACCTACAACTTCAAGGAACTGGATCTACCAACAACCTGAATAAGCTTCGAAAGAGATTCTTCCCCAGAGCCTCCAGGTAAGAGCCCAGTCTGGCTGACAGCTTCATTTCGACCTTGTGAGACCCTAAGCAGAGAGACCTCCTAAGCCTGCCCAGACTTCTGACCTACAGAACTAGGAGCTAACACATTAGTGTTGCTTTAAGCCCCTAAATTATGGTAACTTGTTATGTAGCAATAGAAAACCAAAACACAAGGCATATATGAGAAACCTGGCAGAGGACAATTTTTTTACCCTAACTGTCCATGCTATGTAATGAATAAAATGTAAATTCACTTAAGACTATTCCAAAATCCAGAAAAGCTTTTAGTCATGAGGCACTTGCCTCACTAAAGTTCTAAAAATCAAACCAAAACTGCCCGGTGCAGCGACTGTCACTGCTTAACAAATGTGAGTGTCCCCCACCTGAATTACTTTATTATTTATTGGTCACACATGTACAGCACTTAACAAGTACATGTGGCAGTGTACAGTCTCACTCACAGAGCTACGGTACAAGTTTCTAGAGGATCTGTGACTTGCTTTTCTTTATATTCCACTGAAATACCTGATACAATCCTATACACACACTAGGCACTTTTAAAAAGAAAAAAAGAATCTGTCACATTGAAATAAATATTTGTTACATTGGATGGATTAACCTTGGCTATCCTCAAGTAAGGGCAAGAGTTTTGAAGTACCTTTTAGGAATACAGTGAAGGGAAAAAGTTCTTTCTGAATCACCTTGGCCACCAAGACAGAAGGGCCCTTACCTTTACATCTGGCACTTGGGCACCAAGGCTGCTAAGTCCCACGATGGAATAGAAAGCAGATTCCAAATTTGTGAAAGGGCGGTCCAACGAGGCTTTCAGTCTCTCGACGTCATGCTTGGTGAGGTAGTGAGTGGGCGTCAAGGCCTGGGTGCTGGCTATGATTGTCAGGGCCAACAGGAAGACAGTGCTTGAACCTTGGGGAAAAATGACTATTAAATACACTCCACACTAATACTGGGAAGGCCAGCACAGCTTGTTCAGGGTAAGGTCATGGAAGCTCCACTGACACATCCAAACTCCCTTAGGGATTGAACAACTGGGCTGAGAGCTACGGGGACCATGATCTCAGGAAACATCTAGCTCAACTGGCATAACATACTTTATAAAGACAATGTGCTACGTTCTACTTTGGCAAATAGCATCTGTGGTCTTAAAAGCCTGTGAGCAGCCATCTAAGATACTCCACTGGTCTCACCCCTTCAGGAGCAAGGGAAAATGATAAAAACTAAAGACACAAGGGAAAGATTAGTCCAAAGGGCTAACAGACCACAACTACCATGGCCTCCACCAGACTGAGTCCAGTACAACTAGATGGTGCCTGGCTACCACCTCTGACTGCTCTGACAGGGATCATAACAGAGGGTCCCAGACAGAGCTGGAGAAAAATGTAGAACAAAATTCTAACTCAAAAAAAGACCAGACTTACTGGCCTGACAGAGACTGGGGAAACCCTGAGAATATGGCCCCTGGATACCCTTTTAGCTCAGTAATGAAGTCACTCCAGAGGTTCACCTTTTAGCCAAAGATTAGACAGATCCATAGGACAAAATGAGACTAAAGGGGCACCCTAGCTCAGGGGCAAGGACTAGAAGGCAAGAGAGGACAGGAAAGCTGGCAATAGGGAACCCAAGGTCGAGAAGGGAGAGTACTGGCATGTCATGGGGTTGTTAACCAACATAATAGAACAATATATGTACTGTTTAATGAGAAGTTAATTTTTTCTGTAAACCTTCATCTAAAGTACAATTAAAAAAAAAAAGAGCAATATTTCTTAAATAAAGCTGGCAGTCTTGCAAAAAACAAACAAACACTCCACACTATTCCATATAGTCCCAATGATTGTGCACACCAGGGCATATGGGAACCAAGTCATGTGAGGAATGGTGAGGGAACAGAGGAGGTTTAATCTGAAGAGAAACCTTGGGGAAGGGTAGGCACTGTCTTCAACTATCTGAAAGACAGTCCTCCTCCCAGCAGCCTCCGTGTATCTAAAGCACAGGACTTACCACATCATTCATCTGTTCAATGTACAGTCATGACTCCAATGGCTCCTAGGACAGACTGAATCCTCATCATGGCCTTGGCTGCCTCTCACTCAATCTCCTCCCTCATTTTTCCCACCTTCTGTTACTCTCTGGCCTTCTCTGTTCCTCTAAGGAGCCATGTTCTTTCTTGCCCAGGGCTTTTTATGCTTTCCCCTACTTTAAAATCAACTGAGCAAGATGGGAGGCACTGGAGGGCTTTGAGCAGAGGAGTGATTCGACTTACATTTTAACAGGATCATTGTGGTGAATACTGAGACAGTGTTGAGAACAGACTATACAGGAGCAAGGACAGAAAGTGGGATACCAGTTAGAAGACTATTGCCATAATCCAAGTAGAAAGATGATGGTGGTCCAAACCAGTGTGACAGCAGAGGTGGTGAGAACTACTTATAGAGTCTGGCTAGAATTCAAAATTAATGCTTATCAAATTTGCTACATAGATAGAAAGATGTAAGAAGAAGAGAAGAGTCAAGTCAGGAGTGGATTACTCAATAAGCAAAGTAAGCATGGGCTTACTGGCGCTTACCAAATTCTTAGTTATCTAGTGCTACTATAACAAGGATGGATTACCCAACAAGCAAGGTAAGCACAAGCTTACCAGTGAAGAAGTTGCAAATCAAGTACTTCGCTATTTATGTTTGCAAAATTGAGTTTTCTAAGTGCAGACATTGTACCTAGAAAACTCAATTTTGCAAACTCCACATAGACAGTGAAGTACTTGATTTGCAATTGCTTACTTGGGTAATCAGTCCCCGAGTCAAGTTACTAATGCTGAATCCATAGTGCCTTGTGTATATATATGTACTCAGTATATTAAGATCTAGTGAGTAACTAAGACAAGCACTTTCTCAGACTGTAAACTCCCCTAGCACAGTATTGGTGTCAGAATCCTAATCATCCCATCTCACCTTAATAATAACAATATTTTTGGGGGAGGAGGGGGCTAAATTTGAGCACTTAACATGTGTCAGCTATGCCCCATACTATGCTAAATACTCTGTATGCAGAGTCATTAAATCCTCACAACATACAAATGAGATAGCTATTTTCTGCATTTTACAGACCAAAAAATTGAGGTTCAGAAATAGTTACTTGTCCTAAGGTCCACAACTAATTGAGAATCAAATTGCAGGCAGTTCGAATCAAAAGTCTGTTTTTAACCACTATACTATTCTTGACTTCTCATATAATTAAGTAGGAAGTCATTTCCCTTCTCTGGGATTCCGTCGTTTCATCTGTCAAATGGAAATAACAACAGCACACACTTCTCTAAATTGTGGTGAGACTACATGAGACTCTATCCAGCAAAGTGCCCACTCTGTAACTAGCAATGAAGTTAAGAACCGTAGCAACAGCTAATTTAATACAGTGCTTACATAGTGCCATGAACTGTTCTAAGCTCTGCATAGGAGTTATTTCATTCAATACTCACAGCAACTCTATGAGGCAGATAATATGACTAACCCATTTTACAGATGAGGTGCAGAGGGGTTAACTAACTTGCGCCGGCCACATACATAACCAATACGTGACAGATTACAAGTATGAAACCAGAGTCTAACTTAACCTACAGTCTAAGCTCTCAAAGTGAGTGATTGTTCTTGCCCCTTTCCCAAACGAGGAAACTGCGGCCCAAAGTGGAAGGATGAGTAAGGGGCGGCGCTGGGACCAGATCCCAGGCCGCTAGACTCGGGAGCCTGCGCTCCCAAGAGCGAGTCAAATGAATGACCGAAAGCAGGCTTGTGATTAACTGCGGCTTCAGCCCGACCGCGACCCCCCCGCTCCAATCTGGGCCTCGCAGGGACCCGTAGCCCCAAGTTGCATGCCCCTCCGCCCCCCAGTCCTCTCCCTCGGTTGCGGGCACTCCCGCCGGGTCGACAGCCTTCAGTTTGACCTGCGACCCCAAAGAGCCCAAGCCCATGCCCCTGCCCCGCAGGGGAAGGGGATCCCGCCTGGATGCCTCCCGAACGGCGGGCACTAGCCTTCCGCGGGTGACGGCCCGCTCTCCAAGGCGTGCCGGCCGCAGGGCCCCGTCATCAAGCCATGCGCAACGCCTCACCCGGCGGCGCCATTCCTCCGACCAGGTCCCACCAGTGCCTGAGCCGCAGACAGACTTCCGCTTGGGAAGGTGGCTCCAAGAGCGCGCCGCAGGGGACTCCAGGGACTCGCGGCAGGCTTCGCGTGCTAGGATGGGCTCCAGGCTCAGGTCAGTCCCCGCGGTCCCGTTGGGCCGGGCCGCTGCCAGCAGCCGCAGCCCAAATTCTTGGTCTCGAACGGCAGAGGCCCCTACGGTCTTCGCGTGCAGGTCCACTCCCCCCCCGGCGCCCCGGCGTACGTCGAACTGGCCGCCTCGCAACGGTCCTATTCCGGGCGCTGTCAGGACGCGGTTGGAGGAAGTGTCTGGGAGGACCCGAAACGGGTCCTCGGCTGATTGGTCGAGCTCATTGGTTGGCCGCTCGCGTTGTCACTCTTTCGTCTCTCTGTAGCCCGGCCAATTTTAAAGGAATGGGAAGGGTCCGGTGGGGAGAAGCGAGCACTGTTTGAAGGATTTTTTTTTTTTTTTTTTCCGTTAGAAACTTATGGCAGTTTACGCCAAATGTTATAATTTCTGTTGTTAATAACTGACCTGTGAGGGACATTTTATCTGATTTGCAAAGCATTTGTGTAGACTCAGTAACTCCTCACGATAACTGTAAGAAGCGTATTGGCCAGATTTTAACAGACGAAGTAACCGGCTCAAAAATGGAAATAACTCATCTAAGAGCTCAATGATAATAACTAACTCCAATTATTGAGCGTATCCTATATAGCTGGATATAAGCGCTCTACTACATTATTTCATTTACCCCTTGTCACCTTTCTGTGAGGTATACCCGTTGCCGTTGAGTCGATTCCACACATAGTTATTATTCCTGTTTTAAAGAGAAGGCTATTAAAGAATTTGAACCCAGGTAGTCTGACTTCAGAATCTGTGCTTTTAACTATTATGAGCATATAAAATATAAAGTATGCACCATGAAGTAACTCTTGCTATTATTATTATTATCCCAAATAGAGGAGGATTAGTTCTTTTTATGTCTACAACTGCCTTATTCAATATGGCAGCCACTAGCCATATTTGGATATTTAAATTTGAATTTGAATTAAAATTAAATAAATTCAGTTCCTCAGCTGTCCTAGCCATATTTCAAGCACTCAATACCCACACATGGCTAGTGCATATCACAGCACAGAATTATAAAAAATTTCCATTATCACAGAAAGTACTATTGAACAGTCTTGTTCTAAAATATATAAAGAACTCTCCAATTCAATAACATAAAGACAAACAACCTGTCTGTATGCTAGAGCTGGCTGATACTGGCTCACAAAGGTTAATTGCTAAAAATTTTCAGGAGTTCTGCAATTCAGTTGTTAAATGCAACTTGTCTTAGTTTCCTAGGGCTGCTTAACAAAATAACACAAAGTGGATGGCTTCGAAGAACAGAAATTTATTTTCTCACAATTCTGAAGGCTAGAGGTCAGAATTTAGGGCTTCTGCCATGTTGATTCCTTCTGAGGACTTTGAGAGAGAACTGTTCCAGCCCTCTCAATTGTACATGTAACATTCTCCAGGGCAGACCATACATAAGGCTATAAAACAATTCTCAATAATTTTAAAAGGATTGAAATCAATCCTTAGGGTCGCAATAAGTAGGAATGACTCAATGACAATCGATTTGGTTTGTTTGTTTTTTTGTCATGCAGAGTATCTTCTCTGATCATAGTGGAATGAAGCTAAAAATCAGTAACAAAAGGAAAACTGGAAAATTCACAAATATATGGATATTAAACAAAAATAATAAAGTTAAAGCCATAAAGGTATTAGAAGAAATCATAGAAGTGAATCTTCATGTCTTCAAATTTGATAATGGATTCTTAGATTTGACACCAAAAGCATGAACAACAAAGACAAAATATGTAAATTGGACTTCATAAAAATTTAAAACTTTTGTACATTATAATACATTATCAAGAAAGTAAAAAGACAACCTGCAGAATGGGAGAAAATATTTGCAAATCATGTATCTGATAAGAATTTAATATCCAGAATATATAAAGAATTCTTAGAAGTAAACAATGAAAAAACAACTCAATTAACAAAGGAACAAAGGACTTAGAGATTTCTCTAAAGAAGATGCAAATGGCCACCAAGCACATGAAAAGATACTTGTTTAACATAATTGGTCATTAAGGAAATACAAATTAAAACCATGAAATACAACTTCACACCCATTAAAAACCAAAAAAAGGAGGGCTGTGGGGACCATGGTCCCGGGGAACATCTAACTCAATTGGCATAACACAGTTTATAAAGACAACGTTCTATATTCTACCTTGGTGAGTAGCGTCTGGGGTCTTAAAAGCCTGTGAGCAGCCGTCTAAGATACTCCACTGGTCTCATCTCTTCGGGAGCAAGGGAGAGTGAAGAGAGCAGGATACAAGGAAAAGATTAGTCCAAAGGACTAATGGACCACAGCTACCAAGGCCTCCACTGGACTGAGTCCAGTACAGCTAGACGGTGCCCCGCTACCACCACTGACTGCTCTGACCAGGATCACAACAGAGGGTTCTGGACAGAGCTGGAGAAGGATGTAGAACAAAATTCTAACTCAGAAAAAAAGACTAGATTTACTGGCCTAAAGGAGACTGGAGAAACCCCGAGAGTATGGCCCCCAGACACCCTTTTAGCTCAGTGGTGAAGTCATCTCTGAGGTTCACCATTCAGCCTGGGAGTAGACAGCCCCATAAACCCAAATGGGACTAATGAGGTACAGCAGTCCAGGGACAAGGGCCAGAAGGCAGAGGGGGACAAGGAAGCTGGTGATAGGGAACCCAAGGTTGAGTAAGGATAGTGTTGATGTGTTGTGAGGTTGTTAACCATTGTCATAGGGCAACATGTGTACTAACTGTTAAATGAGAAACTATTTTGTTCTGTAAGCCTTCATCTAAAGTGAGAATAGCAGCACAATTGGAAGAGCCTAGTCGATGTCACTGAACTGTGCATGTACAAATTTTTGAAATGGTGTACCTTGGCTATGTATATTTTCACCAAAAAAAAAAAAAGGTCAAGAAGGGAGAGGGTTGACATGTTGTGGGGTTGTTAACCAATGTCATAAAACAATATGTGTACTACTGTTTCATGAGAAACTATTTGTTCTGTAAGCCTTCGCCTGAAGTACGATAAAAATAAATAAATAAATAAAAACCAAAAAAAAAACCAACCCCATTGCCGTTGAGTAGATTCTGACTCATAGCTACCCTATGGGACAGAGTAGAACTGCCCCACAGAGTTTCCAAGGAGCGCCTGGTGGATTCGAACTGCCAGCGTTTTGGTTAGCAGCCGTAGCTCTTAACCACTATGCCACCAGGGTTTCCAGCACACCTACTAGGATGGCTATAATCAAAAAACCAGAAAATAACAAATGTTAGCGAGGATATGGAGAAACAGGAACTCTCGTACGTTGTTGATGGGAATATGAAATGGTGCAGCCACTGTGGAAAACAGTTTGGTGATTCCTTGAAAAATTAAAACATAGACTTACAATATGATCCAGCAATTCCACTCGTAAGTATATACGAAAGAGAAATGAAACATATGTACACAGAGGAATTGTACATGAACGTACGTTCTTCATTCATAATAGCCAAAAGGTGGAAACAACCCAAATGTCTATCAATGGATGAATAGATAAACAAATTGTAGTATATACATACAGTGGAATTATTCAGCCATAAAAAGGACTGAAGTACTGGTACATGCTACAACAATAAATGAACCTTGAAAACATGCTAAGTGAAAGAAGCCAATCACAAAAGGCCACATATTGTATGATTGCTTTTACATGAAATATCCAGAATAGGCAAATCCACAGATAGAAAGCAGATTAGTGGTTACCAGAAGAGAGGAGAGCAGGGAACGGGGAGTGATTACTTAATGGGCATGAGCCAGTCTAGGGTGATGAAAAAGTTTTGAAACTGTTGAGAGGTGATAGTTGCACAGCATTGTGAATGCTCTAGATGCCACTGAAACATACACTTTAAAATGGTTAACTGTGTGTTACATTAATGTCACCTCAATTGAAGAAGGAAAAAAAATTACTGCTTATGGAGCACTAAGTTTCGGTTTACTGTGATAGAAAAATCACATTGATTAAGGGTAGGGTTGCACAGCTGATTATTGTAATTGCTGTCAATAAGTTGTATCCCTGTGAAAAGCTGAATTGCCAAATGTTGTAATAGATATGTTTACAACAACTACAAAAAGAGAAAGAGAGAGCTGCTGCTGAGCCTGCTTATGTACAACCAAACACCTCATGGGATTTGGTTTCTTGGTTTGGAGGTTTAGGGTCATGGTTTCATGGGACCTCCCACTTAATTGGCCTAATAACCTGCTTAGCGCTTCTGTTCTACCTCCTAGTTAGTTGCCTAGTTTCTGGGGTCTTAAAAGCTTGCAAGCGGCCACCCAGGGCACAACAATTGGTCTCTATTTGCCTGGAGCAACAGAGGAAGAAGGAGAGTCAGGAACAGGAGGAGGATATGGAATGTGTGGCTAATTGCCTCCATGAACAACTACCTCCTTTGCCATGAGACCAGAAGAACTGGATGGTGCCTGGCTTCAGTTACTAAACATTTTGATCCAAAGAGAAAATGAAGAACAGAATTTTAAATTCTCATGGAATCCAGATTTTCTAGAGCAAGGGAGGCTGGATGAACCCCCAAAACTATTGCCATGAGTTAATCTTTAAACCTTAAACTTTAAACCAAAAATATCCCCTGAAGTCTTCTTAAAACCAAACAATAGTTTTAGCGTAACTAGTAAAGAATGTCTGCCTTGAGCATTGTGCTGTTTTCAGAACTACCTATATGGGATCAAACTGACAACAGCAAATCAAAAGATTGTTTAGGAAACTCAAGGGGCAGTGAATTTATGTTAATGAGGGAGGAACAATTATGAAAAGAGGGTGAGAATGGCTATACAACTTGAAGAATGTAATAAATACTGAATTGTACATGTAGAAATTCTAGAATTGGTATACTGCTGTGTATAGTCTCAAAAACAAAAATAAAATAAGTTATTTTTTTTAAAAAAAGAATTACATAAGCAATACCTAAATAGATTTTCACTGAAAGAAGATCATTCTCCACAAAGCAGAATTCCACTGGCCTGTTTCATTGTCCCTTCCCTCCCGCAAGTCACTCGTCTCTCTAGAGGTAACCACTATTACAATTTCAGTGTGTCTCCTTTCAGACTTCTTCTATGCATATATAGTTGGTATCACACTGAATGTATTATTTTGCAACTTGGTTTAACCAAATAGAATATTGTGGCATATCAGTACTTATAGATCTGCCTCTTTCCCATTGACAGCTTCAGAGTATTGCACAATTCAGATCTATACCAGAATCTAACTATTCCCCTATTGATGTTTCCAAGTTTTTTCTCTATTGCAACATTGCTGCAGTAAAACATCCTTATATATGTTTCCTGTGTACATATGTTCGAGTATGTCTCTAATAGAATTTATTTTATAATCACAGGGGGAGAAAAGGAGGAGAACTAGAATCAGGCTTACTCTGCAACCTGCTTCAAATAAGAAAAAGAGAGTTGGCAAAGCAGGCCTAGGCCTGAGAAGTGTGCCTGGGGCAGAAAGGTAGAGAGGACTGTGAGGGATCCTGGACAGAAATCAACTGTAATTTTTCTAATCCCCTTTTCATTCCTAGGGTCTGTAGTTGGGAAGAAGTGGTGATCCCTTGCGCTTCTGATGATGACTCAGAAAGTGTGGATTTGCAGCTGAGCAACTTAGAAGATATTAAAAAAGACCCAAGTAGTCTTGAACTTACAGGTGAAAGGGGGAAAGGATTTTTAAAAAGGGGGGAATGGGGAGAAGGGAATCTCTTTCCAAGTTAAGCCAAAAGGTATTGATTTTGTACTTGCTGGGTGACAAGCCCTGACTAGACTCTGGCAATGACTTTGGTCCCTGACTTTGAGACATTGGCATATAGTTGGCAGAGTAAGACAGGATACATTATTCTGGACATACAGGAAACTAAAATTAGCCCTGAGACAGACAGTCCTATAGATTTCTGCAGGAGAGTCTCAGTGCTAGAGGGATTCTAACAAAGGAAAGGTAAGTGTGGGCTCACACAGTTGGAAAAACTTCACACAGAAGGTGGGATCTGGATTGGGCTGCAGAATTATCATTTTTCATTTATTCTACAAACATTTGAATACCAGGTGCTAGGCATACAAGAGTGAACAAGACCGATGTGGTCCCTGCCCTTATAGAACTTACACTGTAGTGCAGAAATGAGACAAAAAACATAAACAGTAATTACAGTTTGTAGTAAGCACTATGAAAGAAATAAACAAGACAAAAAATAAGTGAGACAGGAACCTACTTTAAACTATGGTTGTCAGAGAACACCTATCTGAGGCAATGCCATTTAGATGTAAAGGAGGCGTCGAGGATATGAAAGAGCAACCTATGTGAGAAATAAAGAGGGAAGAATGTTCCAGATAGAACAGCAAGTGCATGAGACAGGAAAGACTTTGATTAATTTGAGTAACTGCATTCATTCATTCAACAAATATTTATTGAAGCCTACTATGCTCTAAGGTGATCTAGATGCTAGAGATATGGCAATGAACTGAACAGACACAATCTACTTACAGATAAACAGACAATTGGAACACAGTGTAATAAGTGTAATGGGCAGAGGTTTCTTAGTGGCTAGGAGGACACTTCGTCAAAATGGACAAAGAGGGGATTCAGGAAAGAAATCCTAGAGCTGAGACTTGAAGGATGTGTAGGAGTTAGCTAGGCAAAGGGAAGTAGCAGAAGGTGGAGAGAGGAAGGAGAAACATGCAGGCAGAAGGTACATCCTGTGCAAAGAGGAACATGGCTTCAATTATTACACATGTGGGTGAAAATAATGTGGTACGGAGAATTTGCAGAAAGGGTTATTCAAGAGACCAATAGAGCACAGAAGTAGAGAGGTAGAAACTTTCAGATGTTAGATGTGTTAAGGAAGGAGTAGGAAGACTACTAGTCCATTAGGAATAAGGGATTTGTACTGGGAAAATAGAGGAGGTAAGAATGTAAAGATAAAGTGAAGAGGAAAATGATGTCACTATAATCATTATCTCTCAATGAGCAAGGAATAGTAGACATTTACTGACACTTTCTTGGTACTAGCTCTGTATTAGCCAAATGGAATAGGTACTATTGTTAGCCCCATTTTGGAAATGAAGAAATAGGTCCAGAGAAGGTAACAAGGTTTGAGTGCTAGAAAGAGAAGATCCAGGATCTGAGCCCAGGCCGACTGATTCTGGAGCCCGTGCTCTTAATCAAAGCAAGTCCCAGATTGGGAAGGAGATACCTCCAGCACTCACTGCAACCTGGTCCAATGGGAAGAGATAAATATTAGTAAGGGGCTACTGTATTTTAAGCTCTTGTCACCACTGAGCCATAGAGTTTTTTGAGTTTGAATAACATCTACCAGTTATTAAGTGCTTACTATGTGCCAGATACTGGGCTAAGTCCTTTGCACGTATTACTTCACTTAATCCTTACACTTAATCCTTGGAGGTGGGTACCTCTGCATTTTACAGATAAGGAAACTAAGGGTCCAGGAGGCAAACTAACTTGATGAAGGTAATACAGCTAATAAATGGTAGAGTCAGGATTCAAACTAGTCACAAACTGAGATTTAAAGTCCGTGCCCTTAACCATTCTGTTACAGTATAATGCTAAATGTTTTTGTAGCTTAGGAGATCCTTAAAAAACCCCGTTGCTGTTGAGTCGATTCCGACTCATAGCGACCTTATAGGACAGAGTAGAACTACCCCATAGGGTTTCCAAGGCTGTAGTATTTACAGAAGCAGATTGCCACGTCTTTCTCCCGAGGAGCAGCTGATAAGTTCAAACCGCCGATCTTTTGGTTAGCAGCCGAGCACTTAACCACTGTGCCACCAAGGCTCCCGGGAGACGCTTAGAGACCATTAAATTTGTAATTGAGAAAACTGAGACTTGGAGGAGGAGGAGACTTGGCCAAGGTCACAGAGGAAGTAGTAAAGGTGAGAGCAAGGGTCTGTCTATCCTTATGTCCAGTGGTTCTCCCACGAAACCATATAACTTTACACAGTGTGGAGGCATCATCAGGTGTCTTTCTTTTGGTATTAGACTCGGACATCTCTGACATTCCTGGACTCCCTTGGGAATCCCTCACAGATTGCTTCAGCCACCCGACCCACCAGCAACCCCGTGGCGAGGTCATCATCGAGAGGCTGATTGGATCTGTACAGGAGTTTTTTAATTGTGAGCTAAAGGTATGCACAAGCAATCTTTACGAGTTATCCAACTTATTCCTCCATTTTAACAAATATTTTAAACGTATTTTTTTATTACACAAATAATTTTACAAGGTTACAAAAATTATAAAATTCATGTAATAACAAAGAAAACTATAATAAAAAACGTTAATCTCTAATTCTACTCTTCTGAGATAATTACTGTCAACATTTTGGTAATATATTTTCAGACTTTTTTTCTGTGCATAAAATACATGTAAATATAAAAAAAGTAAACATCATGTATGGAGGGAGAAAAAAATTGTTTTCCTAGGTCAATAGCTATAGATCTACATTATCCTGCTTAATTGCTACATAGTATTCCATTGTTGAGGTGAAATATTCATTCCTTCTTTCTTTCTTTCATTCATTCTTCCTTTCTTTCATTCATTCTATGAGAGCACGTAACAGACGAACTTGTCTTAACCTGGGGGTAAAGGAAGGCATCTCTGAGGAAGTAACCCTTGAGCTCAGATCGGAAAAATCAATAGGAGAAAGTAGGAAAAATTAGAATTGGGGAGAGTGTTCCAGAAGTCGGAAATATGTTTTTGTTCCTTTTTGTTTGTTTGTTTTTATTGTGCATTAGGTGAAAGTTTGCAGAGCAGATTAGATTCCCATTTGCTAGTTTGCACATAAACTGTTTCATAGCCTTGGTTTCATTCCCCAGGATGTGTCAGCATTCTCCCCGCTTCCACCCTAGGCTTCCCGTTTCCTTTCGTCCTGATTTTCTACCGCTTCCTGCCTTCTTATCTTTGCTTTTGGGCAAATACTGCCCTTTTGATTTCATATAATTGATTGTTCTAAGGAGCACGTTCCTCTCGGTGTTATTGTTTATTTTATGGGTTTGTCTGTTTGTCTGGAAAGTGGACTCTGGGAATGGCTTCAGTTCCAGGTAGGAAATATGTTTAACAACCTTGTGGCAGAAAGGAGCACAGCATGTTTGAGGAACTCGAAGTCCTGTGTGTTTAAACTGTGGGGACGAATGGAGAGAGTGGTACAGGATGAGACTGAAGAGGGGCCAGACCATGCTGCGCCTTGAAAAACCAGGATAAGGATTTTGGTCTTTATCCTAAGAGCAATAAAATGAATAAATACTACATAAGGAAATTAATATCCTAATTTACTTAACTAATACTCTGTTGTTTGCCATTGAGGTTCTTTCCAGTTTTTTATTAAAGTTTTCTGATGAAATTTTTGTATTTCATTGTGCTTTAAGTGAAAGTTTACAGCTTAAGTTAATTTCTCATACAAAAATTTATACACACATTGCTATGTAACAGCAGTTGCAATCCCTATAATGTGACAGCACACTCCTTCTTTCCACCCTGGGTTTCCGGGTCCATCCAGCCAGCTCCTGTCCCCTCCTACTTTCTCATCCTGCTTCTGGACAGGAGCTGTCCATTTGGTCTCATGTATCTGCTTGAACTAAGAAGTACACTCTTCACAAGTATTATTTTATGTTTTATATTCCAGTCAAATCTTTGTCTGAAGAGTGGGCCCCAGGAATGGTTTCACTTCAGGGTTAACAGAGTGTCCAGGGGCCATGGCTTCAGGGGTTCCACCAGTCTCAGTCATACCATTAAGTCTAGTCTTTATACATGAATTTGAGTTCTGCTGCGCACTTTTCTCCAGTTCTGTCAGGGACTCTCTGTTGTGTTCCCTGTCAGGGCAGTACTTGGTGGTAGCTGGGAACCATCTAGTTCTTCTGGTCTGAGGCTGATGCAGTCTCTGGTTTATGTGGCCCTTTTGTCTCTTGGGCTAATATTTTCCTTGTCTTTGGTGTTCTTCATTCTCCTTTGCTCCAGGTACGTTGGGACCAATTGATGCCTCTTAGATGGCCACTCGCAAGCTTTTAAGATCCCAGACACCACTCACCAAAATGGGATGCAGAATATTTCCTTAATAAACTTTGTTATGCCAGTTGACCTAGATCTGACAAAATTCTTATCTGTGAGTCTTTACGCACCCCACAGATGATTTTCCTAAGGTAAATTTCTATGTATGGCATCGTCGAATCAAACCTTATCCTAAATGGAGAGAAAGCATTCCCCTTGAGAACGGGAACCAGACAAGGATACCCTTTATCACCACTCTTATTCAACATTGTGCTGGAAGTCCTAGCCAGAGCAATTAGGCTAGAAAAAGAAATAAAGGGCATCCAAATTGGTAGGGTAGAAGTCAAAGTATCTGTATTTGCAGATGATATGATCTTATACACAGAAAACTCCAAAGAATCCACAAGAAAACTACTGGAACTAATAGAAGATTTCAACAAAGTTTCAGGATACAAGATAAACATACAAAAATCAGTTGGATTCCTTTA